AAACACATACACATACACCACCAAAACTAACAATAACAACAAGAAAGAAACATTTCATTACTTGGGAAAGTCACATTTGTCCTGGTTGTCTGCAAACACTTCTTAAGGTAAATATTTTCCTGAGGTTTTGCTGCTGGAGGAGCATTGAACTTCAACCCAAGGGTGACAGAGCATGTGTTCTCAGCCTCCAGCTTCTCTCGGCTACGGCCTAGGTGTAAGGCACACTCCGCGGGCTTCTCTCCTTTCTCTAGTTACTTCTCTGTTCCCTTTATCCCAAATCCCCAGATGTGGCCCTGGTAAAGGAAGCTTGTTGGGAAAGATTTAGGCTTCCCCTAATTAGTTAATGTGCATGTTAATGTTAGTTAGTATACTAACTACTAAGCATGTCATTACTTGGTATCAGATTAGGTTCTGTCATAATGGGATTTCTTAGTTCCTTAAATTTGGGATAAGGTAGACTCAGTGAAAGTCAAAAAACCCTCCTTCAAATTTCTGCAAATTCTGGAGAAACTTACAGTCTCCTGCTCAACATGTTTTCAAGTCTCTTTTCCTTCCATGAGTGCTTTCTCTTTTCAGGGAAGAAGCTGAAATTCGTTCTCTTCATAGAGTGCCACACACAAAATCCACTCATGCAGAACATTTATGAAAGTAACCAAGGAAGCACTGAACTATTCATTATGCCAATTTTATTATATTTACGTATGTTCGTTTTTCTGCTGCTCATGGAATATGGCCGGCTGCTCACTCAGAACTTGAAACTCAGAGGAAACATTGCTCGTGACATGGTGTGTCAGACCCCCTGGCTTCCCTCTGAGGCAGTCTGACTTACTTCATGCCGTGTCTTTCTGCACTCTGCTTTCTTCGACTCCACTGAAGCTCCCCGAAATTCAGGGGGGTTTGCATCAGGAGAAACCCTCAATCAATGAAGGGAAGTCAGTGGATAAACACTCAGGCCTCCTAGCTTCCCGGTGGGTTGTTATGGAAGGCATTTAGCACCTCTCAGTGATCCTCCCGGAAATGAGCCAACAACAGCTTTGATGAAATACCTTTGCCTTGTCCTTCTGCCCTGCTTTTGGTGGAGCATCTGTTCACGTCTTTGGCCCATTTTAAAAATTGGGTTGTTTTCTTACTGTTGAGTTTTAAGAGTTCTTTGTATAATTTGGGTAACAGTCCTTCTTTATCAGATGTCCTTTGCAAATATTTTCTCCTAGTCACCGGCTTGTTTTCTCATTCCCTTAATTTTATATGCATAACTGTATTAGATCCAAAAAATTTAAGGTAATATAAATGTGTAACACGAAGTAATATTTAATAGCAACCAGGGTTTATCTGTGTGTATGATACTTAGAATTAATGTATTCTCTTAAGCTAGAAGTACTGGTACTACTATAATTTAGTGTAACTAAATTACATATATAAATGCTATATATTATGTATAGACATAAGCCACAGAAATAAATTCAGCTTTAAGGAGTAATATATTATAAATTTGCCTCAAACAATAAATATTAAAACCATGTTAAGAGAATAGCACTTTCACAACTGCAATTAAATTGTTTAACAGAATGCTAGCCCCACTGGGTAAAAGATAGATACAGCAACACCATGCTGTAAATGTTGTTTTGAAACATGCTTTGTGTTGTTCACATTTAATTTATATAGTTATATGCCACTGTGAGGGAAAAGTGTGTTTAATTGAAACAAGCAACAAATATTTACTTAGTATAAAGTTTATTCACATGTATAAAAAGTGTAATAGGAAATCCATTAAAACCAAAACATAATCAAGGCTGTAGGAAAAATATGTATAAAAAAATGGGTTTCTTTTTCCAGATAATGAAAATACTGACATATTTGTACTAGACTGCCTTAAGCTCTTAACCTGTTAGGAAAATATTTTTAAACAACAAGAAAAGGTGGAGGAAACACACAATGCAGAAGATTGAAGGCATCAATATGTCATACATATTCCAAAATGCCATATTGGCAATCTACAAAATAATCTAGTTTAAAAAATACAGAAATTCTAGACACTCTTTTAATAGTATAAGCACCATATGCAACATTTCAAATCAAATAACTAATAAAATTTAATTCACATTCAATTAGAACAATATGAATGATATGAAATTGAGATTTGAACAGCACTAACCTTTTCTCGTTAAAAATTTTCTTGTACATATAGGAAGAGTATACACACACATATAAATTATTTAATAGAAAAAATTGATTAGATTTTACAGGCTTAGGGAAAACCAAAGACACATAATACACTTTTGTTCTAGTTTTTAATTATCTGAGAGTTTTTACCCACCTTATTTTTACTCAGAAGGAATGTTATTAACAGATGTAAAACTTGCACACAGTCAGATTTTGTGCTCTTTAATTTTTTTCATTTTTAAAAGAATATTCCATGTAGAATTATCTATCCTACTGAAGGTAAAACCTTATAAATGTGTATTTCTCTTTTCTAGTCCAATTTCCTTTTTATACCTATTTCCATTCATTTCCTGATTGTAATAGAGGGGAAAACTCATCTAATTAAACATAAAACTCTGTGTCAAAGTAGATTTAATGGTTAACACTAACCAGTTGCCTGGGGAAGAAGCACAAACAAAACAGATCAATCAAACAAAAAAATCCACCACCAAAAATGCAACAGGAATAGAAAAGGGTGGATGAGACAGAAATATGTCAGTAATTTTACACTGAGATATTTTCCTTTCAATCATTATAAGCATTTGTCAATTACGGTTCTATCACATTTTTCTTTTTATATTTAAAGTATTATCAGGTTAACATTGAATGCTCTACAAATATCAGGGATTCCATAATCTTAATGATGAATTCTAGGTTCATTCATTTAAGTTAGGGCAACTAAATGATGGCATATAGCAGATCTGAGCTGCTGCTGAGGGGAAAGGGATTGTTACAGGTTCTGAAGCTTGCTTTGTAGTTAGACTCTTGCGAATCAATGGGAGTAAACAAGTTCATGGAATTTTTCAAATTATGATTCAATAAAATATATCATATCTTGTATTTCTTTTCATCCTAAGAAATACATGTGTGTAAGAATACATGTATATAATGTGCCTCTCTCTCTCTCTATATATATATATGATAAATGTTTATAAATTTCTCATACAGATTTAGAATTAAATCTAAAGAGCCCCAGATTTCATAATTTGAGACAGTCTAATTCTATAGGTGCAAGTTGGGCCTAGAAAAGTGTGCTTGCTCATTCTAAACCTAGCTCTCACCAACATGTAAGGTTTGGGGCAAGTTACCCTTCTATGCCTTAGTCTGGCTGTTACAAAGAGAGCAAAGTAGAGTTTACCTCTAACCTTTTAGAGAGGATTAAAGTAAGCGCAAAGTGCAAGGTGCAAAGTTACATGAGAAAAAGTGCTTATGTAAAGCCAAGGTATGACTAATAGTAAAATTTTTATAGGTAATGTAGGAGGCTCTAAAAGAACCACTTTTCCAAATTATATGTAAATGTTGCTAGATTTCTTTGCGACAAACAAAACAAAGAGACACAAGAAAATAAAAGGCTGATATTCTTGGCAGTCTGTAATGGTTATGGTATTGCTTTTATGTGCCTTAAGATCATGGTGTCTTAAAGGAGACACACACACATATGGTGACATGACTTATACTTTCTAAACATTCAATTTGGAAAGAATTACCAAAGGCATGTGGGTTTGATAATTTCACCTTTGTAAAAATTACACACAAAAAATTGTGCAAATGATCGTAAATTATAAAAAATGTTATGCCTGGTAAAAACGTAAAGAACAGAATTTTCTATTCTATTTCTCAGGAGTATGTTACGTTTCTTTTCTTTGTGTGTGATTCTGGATCTCTGTATTACATTTAATGGTTGTATTTCTTGAGCTCCTGCAAGCAGGAAACAAATTTACACATACATACACACTCACCCTCATAAATTTGTGCACACACACTCCAGAGGTTTATAGTTTATACTCTGCTACATTTTTAAGGAGAGACTGGTCACATATATAATTAGAAAGAGAAAAAGTATAAGTTAAAATGGTTACCTATGGTGTTTTATGTCTAGACATTAAGAAATATAAGGGGTTAATGGTAACTTTAATCAACATTTTAATAGCAAAAAAGTAAATTACTTATTCTAGGTTCTCAAGCTATTATTTAGAAAATCAACACATTTTCAAGATAAATAATTATATACAGTTACATAGAGATAATTTAACAATAAAAGAGGTGTGTCTACTTAGTAATATGGGCAACTTTATCAAGTTCTAGTGACTCCTAGATTTCAGGCCTATTTATTTATTTGTTAGTACAGCAACTCTTGCAAATCCTTGCTATTGCAATCCTCTAAAGATCTAACTCGCTAGCAAGTGTTTTTTTGTTTTAAGAAAATTACTAATCCCACTCTCCATAATGAAACACGACTGATAGCAAGAGTTAACAACTAAAACTTGCAAAATATGGTGAATGCTATGTAATAATTTAATATATAAAACAAAGTGATTATATTAAGGCCACCAATTTATAATGAAATATCAAATTCTGTGAAGTTTTACAATCAACAAGAAATCCTAATAAAGAGTGGGCCCAACCTTAGGACTTGGGATAATCTAATGATTAGGAATTCTTACTTTTTAAATATTCAACACAAAAAATCGAAAACCTTTATCTGCACAAAGGACACAGGTATTTCACCAGTTTTAGCTATGACGTCCATACTACAGATTTTTTGGGAGCCATTAAACAAAAAAAAGTGCTCTCGTCTTAACTGCAAGGATATGGAGTCCAAGCTTCTTATCAAGCCGATACTGTTCAAGTTCAGGTTCAAGATGCCAACAGAACTTCTGCGGTGTAGTGCTTGTGCTTACTCCCCCTTTACTTCTTGCAGTTTGTCATAAAGGGCTGAACTGATGTGTCTTTACGGTTCGGGGAAAATGAACCAGTCCAATAACATCAATCTCCTCTGCCACCAAGATGGCAAGATGGGCTTAGTGAGATGGGAGTGACATAGACTTTTTAAATACCCTAAACCCTTTTGCTGGCCCAGGATATGGGGGTGGCGGTGAAATGCTGTGTTTTCTGGTCAGTGCCACTGCCTGTTCATAAGAAGGTAATCCTGTGTCCTCCAGTGAAGGTGGCGATGGAGACAAGACAGCCTCCTCAGGTCCTCTGAAAATGATGGAGGGAGTCTGCCTGCCCCGTCTCACGTAGGTGGCTGAAGAACTAAACAGAGAGACACCATTTATGTCTAGAAAAGGCAGCATTTTTATGTTAAGATGGCAATATTTAAAAATCTAACTAATTTGATAAAAGTTGAACCCAACTTATTAATATAGCAACAGTTTTCTAACAACAGAAAGAGTCTTGGTCTAGTGGAAAGATCAAGAGCTTTAAAGTCAGACATGGATATGAAACCAGATCCTGTCATTTCTTAGCTATGTGACCAAAGGCAAGTTACCTAACTCCGTTTCCACCTCTGTAAAGTGGGGATAATAACAGCTACCTCTATAATAAGGACTCGAAACATGCTAATTTCCCTTTTCTCCTGCTCCTGGATGAAAACTTCCTCAAAGTATGGTGTGAAACCAAACCCAGGCTTTGTTGAAAGGCAACACAGTGCCAAGTCAAGGAAACCGATGCCACAGATAATCACAACAGCTGATGTCTGTCTCTCTCCTCTGTCCCCTGCCTGCAGTCCTGCTGCCTGGTGCATAGATACCGCCTAAACAGTTCTTCCATCACATCACTCTCCTCTGGGAAAATCTAACCTGCAGCCTTCTTTCCATTGCATCAAGTTCTAACTCCTGGGCCTCCTTTGCAAAGCCTCCCTTATTCTGGCCTTCTTTTATTTTTTAGAGCTCTCTGCTCTTGCCAAGGTAGCCTCTTAACACTCCTCAGTATGTGCAATGAGTTCTGTCCCATCTCTATGTTTTCACTGGTATGGTTCCCTTTCTTAGATTATGTCTTTTCCCCACTCCACTGAGCTAAGCCCAACATTTTCTTTTTCAATCCTCACCCAAGGATATTTTTTCTGTTGCTTTTTCAGAGAGAGTGTGGAAGGGAAAGAGAGAGAGAGAAACATCGATGTGAGAGAGACACATCAATTGGTTGCCTCCTGCACGTGCCCTGAGGTACGTGCCCTTGACTGGAATAGAACCCAGGACCCTTTGGTCTGCGGGCCGACACTCTAACCACTGAGCCAAACCAGCTAAGGCATAATTTTAAAAAATATATGGCCTACTTCAAGTCCCACCATTTTCACAAAACTTTGTCAGCTATACCAGCCAATGAAAACTGAAATGCAACATGGGTCTGATGTTTTGAACCTATGTTTTCCCTGCTCACTTGCGAATAACAAAATGATTTAAACATTAGTAAACTGACCTCTTTAGACCGTGAAGCTGGCTATCTATGAAGCATCTATACATAAATAACCTCCTCTAGTTATGGCTAACAAGATAATTAAAATTCGTAGGTAATCCCAACCCCTAGTCAATATTTATAATATCCACACCCAGCCGGCATGGCTCAGTGGTTGAGCATCCACCTATGATCCAGGAGACTGAGGCTGGATCCCCAGTCAGGGCTCATGCCCGGGTTGTGGGCTCCATCCCCAGTCGGGGGTGTGCAGGAGGCAGCTGATCAATGACTCTCCCTCATCATTGATGTTTCTATCTCTCTCTCCCTGTCCCTTCCTCTCTTAAATAAATAAAAATGTATTTTTTTAAAAAAATTTACAATATCCTTCCCAACAAGAGACAGTTTAGCAGACCCAAAATTCTGTAAACTTTTCCAAACTAAGTCAGTCAATTTGCCCCTTAAAACACCCTTTCCTTTGTGGAGGGAAGGAGAGAAGAAAAAGACCTGTGTAAATCTAGGAACTGGATAATCAGCTCTTCAATAGTTGAGAGGTGACTGAGAGCACTGCAAGTTTACTTAGAGGGCTAAACACAATTCCTCCTCTGTCAGAAATCTGGAATGTGTTCATGATAGGCTAGTCACTTGCCACATTCATTAGCTTGTGACGAAAAGTTCTATTTGTTTGCTCATAGGGAACAGGAGCAAGATGTTTTATTTGAACAAAAACTTTTCCATGTCGACTTTCAAAACTTAAGATATAGGAACAATATAATAATTGCATCAAAGTCATTAAATATCTACACAACTAGTTCTTCCATACATCTTAAATGACTGAAATCAGAAAGTATGCACCAAAAACATCTCAAGTAAATGGACATCCTATTATGCCAATTTTACTCCACAAAATAAGGAAACTAAGAAATGAAAAGACCTTGTTTCCCATTTCTTGGCATGTTATTACAGAGGAATGACACAAACTTTTCTGACAATGATCTTATTTTTCACTCCTTCCCAAATATTTCCCCACCCTTCCCCCATTTTCAGACTTGCAAACTATAGAAACAAATAACTCTGCTGGAAGAATTTCTTGGGACAGCAGATTAAATGTACTTTAGTAAGTATTTGAAAGTTAATTCCAACATAGGGGAATATTTGGTAAATCTAGTTTGAAATGTCCCCTAAAACACAAAGGGTTGCTATGAGGAACAAAGTGAGACAACAGATGTAAAAATGATTGTGAACTGTATGGCATTATACTGTACTCACATTAAGTATAACTAATCTTTTTTGAAAATAAGAGATATCCAGGATTTTTATTTTAATACATGGAAAACGTGCATAATAATGGCACCACTTTGATCTCTCTGTTTTTGACTTGTGCTTCTAACCTCATGGGGAAGAAGCTAAAAGGTTTCAGAGAAAGAAGAGCATAAAGCCAGGCCTATGCGGCCCAGTTGGTCGAGCGTGGTCCCATGCACCGCGCGGTCTTGGGTTTGGCTCCTGGTCAGGGCACGTGCCCGGGTGGCAGGCTCGATCCCCACAGGGGGCTTGCAGGAGGCGGCCAATTGATGATGGTGTTTCTCTCTCAGTAACGTTTCTCTCTCCCTCTCCCTCTCCCATCCTTTCTCTCTAAAAAAATCAATAAAAACATATTAAAAAAAGAAAAAAGGCTACGAAGATGCAGCGGTGCAGAAAAGTAGAAAAATGAAGAAAAACATGGGAGAAGAGAGAAGAAAATGTCAAGCATGAGGACACTGAATAATGGCCGTGCTGTCACAGACCTTGCGTGGAATTATTAAACATGAGGGCCTACATGACTCCTTTTGGGAAAACATCATGAATGGGGTGGAAACGGGAAAGAAAAAGACAAGAAGTGTTCAAAGACAAACTTTACCTATTTCTTCACTAACCTGTGAGTTTCCAGGAGGACTCTACCAGCTTGTGGAGAAAGCCACATTGAAAAAAATCTTAGTTCTCAAAAATGCAAAGACCTTGCTCATTTCCTGTCTGTTAAGTAAGGGGAAATTAATAGAAGTCACACGGCTTAAAAGATAGCGGCTTAAGAGAAATTAAATAAACCCTTCCTTCCTTTCTCTCGCCGCTCGGGTTTCTACAGGATTTGCAGAAGTCTCTGATGAACTCCTTAGTCCATGGCCACAGGTCACGGGAACGCCCCAGGGCGCGCGTCAGGGATTCCAGCTTGGGGACAGAACCACAGTTCGGCGGCCCCCGTCCTGTCCTCTGCCCTGTTCGCGGGCTCTGGGCATCCCTACAGGCCTGGCCCTCTGCCTTCTGCTCTTGAATCTCACCGGGAACTTGCCTACTCTCGTGGCTTCAGCTTCCATCCTCCAACAGATGCGCCCTAATTACACATCTGTTGCCCTAAACTCTTACCTTAACAATAAAGAAAACTATTTCACTGTGGCAAAATATATATAACTTAAAATTTGCCATTTTAACCATTTTTACCTACACGATTCAGGGGTATTAGTTACATTCGCAATGTTGAGCAACCATCACGTTATCTACATCCATAACCTTTCATCGGCTGGTCACCATCATGCGCTTGTTCACTTAATTTGAAAGTGTGACTAGGGGTACCAATTTTGAATAGTCTGTTTAGCATCGGGTGCTTTCTTTGAATAACATTATTCTACACTTACTCATCTATATTTACTGAGAAGGTAATACAGATAATATAGACTATAATAACTTTTCATTCCTATAAGTATGTTGAGGTTCTATTATGCAAATTATCGTAGCTTTTCTGAATATTTACGAAGCTTTATTAATGTGCTATTATCTTCAAGTGGTAACCATCTTATTAATTTTTATTTAATTTGAAGTGTCAGTAAAAATAATTGAATTTAAAAGCCAGTTATTCTGTTTCTATTCGGGTAGTCACATGGCCAGATCTGATTTCAGTGTGACTCAGAGTAAACTAGGAACTTCTTGCCTCTGGAAATAATGTGGGGACACTGGTATCTGCCACCTGCTCAAGAAGGAAATACTGAAAAACCAAGCTGACATTTGTGAATCTCCTTATAGTCTTTTGAAGGACCTTAGAAACAGCATTTTAAAGTTTTTTTTATTTGTGTTAAATTAGGCAACCAAACAACTGTCACATTCTAGAGGAAACTGGGGACACATGACAACTAAATGCATTGTACTAGAGCAGAAAGAGGACAGTAATGGAAAAATTGGTGAAATCTAAATAAGGTCTGGAATTTAGCTAGTAGTTGGTTTGTTAGTTTTATAAATGCACTATGATAACGTAAGATGTTAACAATGAGGGAAACTGGGTGAAAGATATGTGGTACCTCTTTGTGCTATCTTTGCAACTCTCCTACATATCTAAAATTATTCCAAAATAAAAAGTTTACTTAAAAGACAGGCAGCCATTTTTAATCCACTTAAAAATAACAGTACAGGATGTATAATAGTGAATTAAGTATTTTCACTTGGTACTTACCCTGGATGCCCTTGCCTGTCACACTTAGTGATACAAAGATAGTAACCAAGTAATCCAAAAATAACCAGAAATACTCCAGCAGCAATTAGTCCAGTCAGAAGGCCCATAACATCAATTTTCTCTCTGTTACCACCTTAAGAAAAATCATTAAAATGACATAAATATAACAACTGAAAAGCACTACCTGTGATTTCAATACATTTAACTCTGGGTCTAAGCACAGTATTAAGCATCAAATAATTAATATCAGTGTTTTTTGTTTTTTGTGTTTTTAAAAAATATATCTTTATTGATTTCAGAGACAGGAGAGGAGAGGGAGACAGAGTTGGAACATCAATGATTAGAGTCGTCATTGATCGGCTGCCTCCTGCACGCCCCCAACTGGGGACTGAGCCCGCAACTCAGGCATGTGCCCTGACGGGGAATCTAACAGTGATCTGGATCCTAGGTCAATGCTCACTGCTGAACCACGCCTAGCTGGGCTAATATTGGTTTTTTTAAAAATCCTTCTGCTGGACATATGACCTAAAGAATTTTTAAACGACACTTCCTGAAAGCCCTAGTTATGGTTTCATTTCTTTTAAACGGGTCATATTAAATAAATAATATTCCACACTAAGTGGGATAAACATAAACTTCGTTCCACTAGACATACTTTGATATTAACTACTAAGATAAATGTACTGAGCAACTCTAGTGTAGTTATGTAATATAGTCTCCCTATAGGCTGGGGCCCTACATAAGAGGAATGAAAGAATAGCTGGCAAAAACCCACCTGACTAAAAGTCAGCTAGAGATGATTGATACAGATGAAAGACAAGATTGTCCCTCTCTAGAAGTCACTTCATTCTACCTAACAATCTTAACTTTCCTAGTAGCATATGTATTCCATTCAGTTGTAATGATAAAGACAAAAAAAAAATTTAAATCGTTTACTACTTGAAACCAATGGAGTACAACGTTTATTCTGTGCAAGTCTTGACTTAGCTGAGCTGTTTAAAGCAGCTTCACGCCTATTATCTCATTTCCCCAGTATCTCACCAAACTTGATTTTCAGTGTGTAAATAGATGAATGTGTGGCCTTCTCTGTCTCAGATAGCCCAGTGTATAGTTAAGAAATTTTTCTTGAATTTACAAGGTAAGTAATGTTGAGCAACAACCAAACTCAAACAATGAAACTAAATGTATCATAAAAGAGTGTGGGAAAAGCATTATTTAATCAATTCTTGTCTTACCTGATTTTGTGGTTGGTCCTTTAATCGAATATTCCTGCCAAAATGCCATCTAAGAGAAAGGTAAATTTCCAAGTTTATTTAATTTCTTTATTATCATTTCATTTGGTCCCAATGACCTAGACTAGGGGTGGTAAATTTTTGGCATGTGCCACAGGTAGGATACCAGTTCACTGAAGCTTAAGGGTGTGACTCATTCTAATTAAAGCACTACCATGCACTACTGTTTCTCCCAACTCTGGAATTGGTCAGGGGATTATTGGCAGTGCCACTTCTCTACCACTGTACCTTGCTTTTCTCCCTTCACCTGCTCAGAGCTCCCGCTCAGGCATCGGGGAAACTATTACGTTGGAGAGTTGGTGAAAGTACCAAAGGTGGAAGCTAAGGCAGGGGACTCATTTTTGAAAAGGAGTCTGCATTGTTCTATGCTGCTCGGTGGGCCCTCAGTTTGCTAGACTTTACTGAAAGGTATTCCTTGATTTGGTGTTTAAGTTCAGTGTTACTTGAGAGGATGGAAGCACAGTTTAAGGAACTGTGAAAAACAAAATAAAATCTCAACAGGCACCATTACAAAGGGTAGATGTGTTTTCCTTCTCTAATACAGGTGGCAGATCTTAGCACGGAGGCTGGGCACAGTTTTGGGAAAAAAGAACTGAGTTCCATTAATACCTGTATTTGAAGGATACCTAGCGAGGTTCTTATTGACCAAGGAGTAGAACGGAACTTCTGAGGAAGGGGAAAAGGAGCTGGGGTTATTTAATCTATAAAAGTAAAGAATGTGGGTCACTTAGCATTCTTCAAGAATATGCCAGATTATAACAAGGCCAGTGCTGTCTCTGTTTTGTACCTTTCCAAGATTAACAGACAGGATTTAATTGCATTTTAAGGGAGAACTTATAAAAGTCACACCAAACAACAAACTCCTGAGTGCAGGAACTATATATTTTGTATCTTCAGTATCTAGCAGAGCACTTGGCACAGAGTAGACTGTCAATACTTGAAATATAAATACAGTAGTCCCACAGGTTAGATCACCGATAGGAAAAATTGCTCGGAGTCTTGAATGATTAAAGCCTGTATCAGAGAACTAACTTGAATTATATCCTGAAGTTTAATTCACTCTGCTGCATGGTTGTTTTTGAATATAATAAACATTAAACCCACAAAATCACAGCATAATCGATCATTTGCTGATGACTATAAGCCCAATTATTTAACTATAAAGCAAAGTCTGAATTTAAAGCTAACTAGCTTTTTAAGGAAGTAGAAAGAGGTAACAGGTATGGACTACTGATTTTATTTAAAGCAAAAAAAACCTCTAATGACCGAAAGGGCCGTTTTCTTAAGCACAATTTAGTAAATTCCCAGCCCATGCACATCACCAGTGAAGTTACCGTTTTGTCTTCATCTACAAAAATCTCCCTGGCTTCCTCGTAGCTGCAGAGCTCCTCAGTGCACTCCCTCTCCAGGTCGCCGGGCGTGAACAGCTCCAGGTCGAATCTGTTATACAGCAGGTGTCTCCCCATGACAGTGCTGGCTGCTTCTTTTGACATAAAGACTTAACAAAGAAATAGAAAGATTTCGAACACTGTTAACGACGAGGAAGAAAATTCCTGTTGAAACTGTGAAAAGAGTGAATAGTTCTTTGAATTATACCAAACTTTCCTGTATGGTTTTCAAATCTGACAAAAAATCAGTAAAAATAATTTCTGCTAAATATGAAACATGAATATTAGCATAACTCCAGAAAATTTTGGAGTTGATTATGTCCAAAATTATCAGCATAAGTAAAAATTCTTTAAATATCACTTTTCCCTCCAGAGAATTATTTTTTTCAGTAAAAGACAGGCCAGACTATTTTATTCCTAAAGGGTTGGTTTCCTATTATCTTGACTGAGAGAAACTAATCTGATGTAATGGACAGTACTGTACTAAGTGTTAGAAGACAAAGATTCTTGCCCTGGCCAGTATGGCTAGGTTGGTTGAATGTCATTCCACACACTGAGAGGTCCAAGATTCAATTTCCCCTCAGGGCACATGCCGGAGGTTGCTGGCTTGATCCCCAGTAGGGGATGTGCAGGAGGCAACCAATCCATGGATGTTTCTTTCTCTCCCTCTCCCTTCCCCTCTCTCTCTCAAATCAATAAAAAACATATTTTAAAAATTTAAAAAAAAAAGAAGACAGAGATTCTTGGTTTTAACTTAGCTTAGCTATCGTATCCTGTTAAGTCACTTATATCTCTGGGTTGCCATTTCGTCATTTGTAAAATTGGGAAATGAGCTAAATAATCACTAAGATCTATTTATGTTTTAAAACTATAAATACATTTTCAAAAATTATTAAACTTATTTGAATGACACTGGTTAATAAGGTAAATTAATACATTTATATTAAAACTGTTAAATCAAGTTTATACTAAAACTTACAAAATTTTAAATTTCGAAGTTAATAAAATTATAAGTTAATTATAAGATTAATGAAAAGATATTAATTACTCCCAAGGGAGTATCTCCTTCCACCCATCCCCAAATAGGTGTCTACAATGCTTTACAAAATTCACTCTATATTTGCTGGGAAGGTAAATGGTAAACAAGATAGAGTTAAGCAGGTTAACACAAAACAAGAATATTCCACCATGGCAGCATTTTCAAAGCTCACAAACTTTAAACCTGTTCTAATATCACATAAACAAAGCTTAAGTGATCTCTCTACATACAGATCACATTACCGAGACTGGAATTCAGAAACTCTGAAAACTGAAAAGCATTAGTATTTCTCACTGCTAACCTTTATTAAAGGGAGAATACATTAAAGTGGGCAATTGAAAGACTACTCAAGACTGAGGAGAGAGGGTCTGAAAGATGAAGAACTAATTTGTGAATGACCTCAGGAGGCCATTTATTCTTAGCCCCTTGAGGACAGTCATACCTTCTTCTACTAATCAATTGCCTTTCCAAACAGGTCTGAATTTTATAGAGCTGTTTTTTCCAATACAGTAGCCAATAGCCATACAGTATATGCCTATTGAGTACTTAAAATGTGGCTAAATCTGAATTGAGATGTACTGTAATTATAAAATACACAAAGGATTTAAAAAACTTAGTTAAAAAAAGGCTGAAATAGTTCAATGTTTTATATTGCTTATATTTGGAAATATTTTAGATATATTGGGTTAAATTAAAAACATTATTAAACTTAATTTTGCCTATTTCTTTTTACTTTTTAATGTGGCTATTAGAAAATTTTATTTTATTTATGTGGTTCACATAGTTTTATTAGCCAGCACTAGTCTAATGTATTCATTTTCATGTTATGAATAATATACAAGGGCTGTTTGAACCAAGGGGAAGCTAAAACGGGATCACTGGTGATACTTGTTTTAAGAAATATTCTAAAAGGCAGAAACAGTGTGATGAAATATTTCTATTCTTTCTTCTCCCTTGTCTTCTTGTAGATTTTATGCTCTCACCACATGGTGACAGAATGAAAATTTTTCCAAGTCTTCATCCTCTCTCACTGGGATTCTCGCAATGGCCCGCTAAAGGTCTCCTTGCAAAAGTCTATTGTAGCTGCACACTGGCTTCCAACAGGCCTGGTTCCCTCCTGCCTTGGTACTTGCTATTTCCTCTGAATAGAACTTTCTTCTTTCAGTTTGTTCTCTCACCTCCGTCAGGATTTTGTTCAGTGTTACCTTGAACCCCCCCACCTGCCCACCTCTGGCACTCCCTGTCTCCTATTCTATTTTGTTTTTCTCCATAGCACCTATCACTCCTTAATGTTCTATATGTTTTACTTATACGTTACCACTCTGATCTCCTTGCTAGAAGGAAAGTTCCATTAAAGCAGTGATGCTGGTACCTGACACAAAAGAGGTGTTCAAAAAATTATTTACTACATGAATGAATGAAGTGAATTTTCCTATTGTGGAAGGAAATATTGGACCTAAATTCTATCAGTTGAAGCAATTTATAGGTATAGTCTGGTGTTACTCAGCTTGACATGTGTTTAAAATACTAAACACATGTGATGCAGTACCTCAGAGCCTGCCTAACTTAGCTACAACTATAGGAAATCAAATTTCAGAAAGGAGAAATAGAACTCTGCTTCTGTATTGCTACTTCTCAGGTTTGCCTAGATCTTTATATTTTATTGGCTAAAAAAGCAGTGCCAAATTTCTCATTGTCGGTCTTCTGTTCTAGTGGGTTATCAGAGTTATAAAAATATCCCCACCCTCCGAATGGCACTCAATAAAGCTACTTTCAACTTGAAAGGAATACAAAAGAGAGGCATAAATGTCTTTTACTGTCCCTGAAGTGATATTTGTGCCAGTAAAAATCCTCAGCCAGAGGCTGTTGTTTGCCACCTCCCCGAGTATGAAAGCTCCAGTTCGCTCTGCGGTTGACCTTAGACCTTCAGCGCCTTACTAAACTTTTCCCTGCCTCCTTTATAGTCTTAGGAGAAATACTGTCCTTTGTTGTTTGGGTTCTAAGTAACCCTGAAAGTGCTTATAATTGAAAGCAGCAAACTTTCTTGCCTCTGGAGCATCCTGAACTTCCTCCAGTGATGCTATTTTCCCTCCGGCCTTTGTGCTTTTGAATCAGCCTCCTCAGATTCTCTATCGACCTCTTTCTCCTGTCTTAGGCCATTCTAAGAGGCTCTCTGTGCATCCACCATTTCAGACCCACCAACCCAAATATTTCATTCTCCTCTTCTCTCCTGAATCTCCTTCTAAGTCATTGACCTCTGTCAGAATTTAGATCTCTTATATTCTTAGTAACTTTTCATATTTCCATTTATTATACCTCGTTTGCAGATAGAGAGCATTGGTTTCTGTGCCACACAACTATCCCAAGACAGTCATTGCTACTCACTCTCTCCTTTGCTCTCCAGGTAGGTTTCTGTTCCTACCTCTGTCTCGCAGTTTATGGAGATTTCCTGTTTACACCCAGCCTCCGTGATCGATGAAAAGGCCCTCCAGGGAAAGGATTACAGTCTTTCATTTCTACACCTCCAGTCCCTAGCGTAGGGCCTGACACAGAGTATGTGTTAATAAAGTGGTTACTAACTGAACAAGTTGGCTTTTTAAATATACAGGATTCCTCTTTCACGTTTTCCACGGATATCACCAGCCTTTTGCACTCAAGTATGATTTCCGAATTCCTTCTAGAGTTTGTGATGTTCTTGAGAGTGTCTTTTTTTCCTGTTGTTGTGTGAATGAATGAATGCATTCACAAGTATTCTGAGGATCAGCATCTGGTCCCACTGAGAATAGACCATCAACCTTATATATGAGTGAACTTACATATATGGTACAACTTGGGAGGTACCAAGAAGGATCTCCTTCCAAAAATCTGTCCTTTCCCCACTAACTAGCCTAACCAATTGCCTAGAATTCTGCCATCAGGGTTCCATTCCTTTGGGTTAAGATAATTGCCCTATCTTAAACCGCACACACACACACTCCTAGAAGGTTTAACACACTAAGCTGTATTAATCATTAATAAGCCATCCAGGAGTATTAGTGTAACAGATCCTTCCCAAATGAAAGTGAGCTGAGAGGAGGATCTGATGAGAAGGGATAAGGAACGTGTGGGGAAGTAGATCCAAAGCACTAGCGCTGGTAGGGAACCACAATGACAAGGCAGGGAAAGGATGCTGAGGGCCAAAGCCATTTTTTTATTTGTATTTAATCCTGAGCATAATTTTTCCATTGCTTTTCAGGGAGAGTTTGGGTGGGGGGGGCGCATCGATTGGTTGCCTCTCTCAAGCACCCCAACTGGGGCCAGGGATCAAGCCTTGACCAGAATCGAACCAGAGATTCTTCGGTCCGAGGGCAACCGCTCTAATCACTGAGCAAGACCTGCACAGGCCAAAGCCATTTTTTTCCCTTCTTTTCTGTTTTTTGTTTTTGTTTTTTTTTTTTAGGTTAGGCTCTTAAGACATGGGCAGGAACTGTGTTTTTTTTTTTTTATGACTGAGAACTCACAAGGCATGGAAATACAAGTTAGCAAGCCCCCAAACCTAATCTCACAACCATCTGACTATATCCAAAGATTTGAAAATCAAAAAGGGTCTCAGGGATCATTCCACTCCTCACCCTAATTATTTTACAGATGACGAAATTCAAGCCAAAAGGTTCACGTTACTTGCCCAGGGTCTCAACAAGTCCAGACTAGATCTTGGACTCTCCTTCCATCTTGCCAGGAAGAACAACTAATTATGCTCATTATAATGACCACAGAGCCCCATGTAAAAAAAATGACACTCGCTGATTTTAGAAGCTGAAATAGGTTCTCCATTCCGGTTAACCACAAACCAGGTCTTAAATATATATATTTAATCAAAAGTAACTCAAAATCAATTTGTATAAACTGCACTTAACAAACCACAACATTACCAAATAAACCACAAATTAAACTAAAGAATATTTTAGTGCTGCCACGACTGACGAGGGCATGTAATTTCAAACACTGCGCTTTCTAATTTGAGATCCGGAATAGGCGGCGCGGGGCTGCGCGAGGGTTTCCTGGGAAGCTGAAGCCGCGCTTACCTTGGTCGCCCGCACGCCCGGGCCCCTCCCGACTGCGCGCACGGAGCGGCAGCGCGACGGCGGCCGCGGGCAGCTGGCTGAGCAGAACCAGAAGTGTCAACATAGTCCAGCAACAGTCAAACGAGCTGAAACCAACAGAAAAGCGCGTCAGCAGAGGCCCTGGCTCAGCACTTGGAGCTTCCGCAGGCTCTGAGACCTGTTGTGCTCAAAGCCGCCGCACGACTGCGCCCCGCGTGCGGTTTCGGTCACCCGGGTTCCTTCCGCGCCCTGGAAGCGGCCGCGAGAGCGCCTGGGGACAAACGCCGCGCCCCGGCCTCCGCCGACGCCCGAGCAGGCGCCGGTCGCCACGGGCGTTCGAGTCGGACCCGGCCTG